AATACTTTAAAACCTTCGTTGCGTTTTTCACGAATTGATGTTGAATTAATGCGTTTAATGAAGATTATTATTCAACGCATTATTCACTTATAAATTATATGTGCATGATTATTTTGGTTAATTATTAATTATGATATCATTTTTTGTCATGTCTAATAGTCTTTTCAGTGATTAAATAATTTAAAGATACATTCAAAGCTATCATATCATATTAATTCTTTCTTTATAATTACCTTGTAATATATTATTATTTTACGTTTCAAGTTTCAAACTGAGATCATTCGTTCAACTAATGTTTATATTCCTTTCATTGAACGGACTATTACAATGTGAATTATATATTATTTCTTGATTCATGTGATTATTGAATTTTGCCATAATGGTTTATGAATATGATTTAAAATTATCCTGCTATATTCTCTAAATATAATTTATTTTGTCAACAATTAAAACTCAGTGTTTCCTTCACTGCCATAGCCCACGATCTATACGGGTTGTGTACAACATCGAACCGCGAAAATTTCTCGAAGATGCCGAAGTCATCGTGCTCGATCATGTGCAAAACGTCATGCAAACACACACAAGTGTAAAGATAAACACCGTGTTCAACGGCGAGTTTGTGACAGGTGACAAACGTGACAATAAAAGTTTCAACACGAGTAACTGTGAACTCTTTCGTTCGTCCGAACGGTCCGATCTGCGTGAGTGGTACAAGCTACACGTTATCGAGCCCACATTAGCGAAACTCGAGGATTTCCAGGAACGCGATAGCGGATGGGCGTTGTCGCGTATACTCAATTTGACAGTGAACGTGAACAAGTACAATCCTTTGCGCGCGGGATGTTACATCAATTTACCGAAAAAAATTAAATTGAAAAAAGCTATGATCAATGTGCATTCTATGGACAATGCGTGCTTCGCGTGGTCAGTGGTCGCCGCGCTGTATCCTGTCAAGGATCATACATATCGGGAATCCTCGTACCCTCCCATATAAGGTCGCCGGAGGTTACAATACAACCAACACTTGGCCAATGCTACGGCATTCGATTATCGGCCAAGGTTTTGTCAGCCAATGCTGGGCCAACACTGGCTGTCTACCTAAAACCTGATCTATAAAGAATAATCCGGCGTTACGATAAAACCAACACTTGGCCAATGTTGGCACCCGCACATCGGCCAATATTCTGTCAGACAGTACTGAACCATCACTGGCAAATGACTATGCAAATGTCGAATCATCTGATAGATGGCATTTGATAGGATCCGTTTCTTCTATTTAAAATTCGACCAACGATGCTATAAGAACGATGTATAAATGACAGAACTGCACAACTTATACAGTTGTATCATGGAGTCCACTTTTATAATAAAATGTGACACACTTTTGAATTGATGTTAACGTTAATGTAACCTTATTTTTGAAGACTGATAATAATTAAATAAACAAAACATATATATATATATATATATATAACGCATATATTTTATAACAAAACTCGTTTCTTAATTAATTATCAACCAGTCTGAATCTGGCAACCAGTACTGGCGCAGTACTGGGCCGATAGTAGTACCTATACTGGGACAGTACCAATAGACAACGGCTGGACCAGTACTGTCGGTCAGTAATGGGCCAAAGTTATCACCCGGCGCTGCGGCAGTACCGCGCTAGTAATGTTGCCAGTACAGCGCCAGTACCTAAACTACCACAACCCAATACTGGGCCGATTGTAAAACCCTATATAGGCTGATTACAAAATTATATTAAATTTACAAGACATTGAGTTTCCAATGACTTTGAAACAGATTAAAAATTTTGAAAATCACAACAATATATCCATCAATGTGTATACCATCGAGGGAGAGAAAACGCCAACCGTTCTCCCGATACGGCTCACCGACCGGAAGAGAGAAAAGCATGTAAATCTGCTGAACGTGCAGGACCCGCGAGACGACGTGGGACATTTCGCGTGGATAAAAAATTTATCCCGCCTCGTGAGCTCGCAATTGAGCATGCACCATGGTCGGAAATACTTTTGCGATCGGTGAGTACCTATACTCCTTTTAATAAAATTATAAAATATTTTATTGTTATATAAAAATTTACAAAATTGTGTTTTTCTTTTTGCAGATGTTTACATTATTTTTATTCGAGCGAGAAATTGGAAGCCCACGGTGTAGACTGCCGAGAGATAAACAACTGTGCCATCCGACTACCGAGCGAGGACGACAAGTGGCTGAGTTTCAAGAATCACAGCAAGAAGGAACGACTTCCATATGTCGTGTACGCCGACCTGGAATGTACTCTCGAAAAGACGGATGCGGATTCGACAACGTCCACGTTCAGGTCTCAACATCATCGGGTATTTAGTATAGGATATTACGTGCGGTGCTCGTACAACGACTCGTTATCCGCGTATCAATTTCGTCGCGATAAGGATTGCGTCGCGTGGTTCGCCGAGGAACTAAGACGTTTAGTACACGACGTAAAGAACATCTTGTCCGATAATATACCCATAGCGGATTTCACGCAAGACGAGTGGAAAAAGTTTAACAGCGCAACGCACTGTCACGTGTGCGAAAAACCGTTCGAGTCAGACGACGTGCGAGTACGCGATCACTGTCACTTGACCGGCAATTATCGAGGTCCCGCGCATTCTAATTGTAACTTAAATTATAAAAATTCTCACTTCATTCCCATAGTATTTCATAATTTATCGGGTTATGATTCTCATTTTATTATAAAAAAAAAGGAAAAATACATTTCATTTACGAAGAACGTTAAAAGCACTGAAGATAAAGACAACCAAAATTGCATCAAATTAAGATTCATCGACTCGTACAAATTTCTTAGCACGAGTCTCGAAAAATTAGCATTCTTTCTCGATAAGGATAAGTTAAAAATTATACGTTCAAAATTTTCCGCGTTATCCGACCAAGATTTCGAATTATTGACGCGAAAAGGTGTCTTTCCGTACGAGTACATTGACTGCGTCGAAAAGTTGGAGGATACGTGTTTACCATCGCGCGACTCGTTTTACAGTTCATTGACAGGCGACACCGTATCCGAGTGCGATTACGCGCACGCCGTCAACGTCTGGCAGCGGTTCTCCATTCGAACGCTCGGTGACTACAGCGATCTCTATCTAAAGATCGATGTCTTGCTGTTGACCGATATCTTTGAAAATTTTCGCGATGGCTGCGTCGCGAGTTATGGACTCGATCCGGCGTATTATTACACTCTACCGGGGTATTACACTCTACACTTTACGTGGGACGCTATGTTGAAGCATACGGGTATCAATTTCGAACTGCTCACGGACATTGACATGGTCATGTTCATCGAACGCGGTATTCGCGGTGGTTTGAGTCAATGTTCAAACAGATACGCGCTGGCCAATAACAGGTACATGCAATCTTATGATACATCGAAACCATCGTCGTACCTGATGTATTTCGACGTAAACAACTCATACGGCTGGGCAATGTGCTAACCATTGCCTTATGCAGATTTTCGATGGGTCGAAGACGTCTCGAATTTCGAGTTTAGTGCGATCGCTTTGGATTCGCCCACGGGTTACATTCTCGAAGTCGATCTAGAGTATCCGCAGAATAAACACGACGCGCACGCCAACTTACCGTTCTGTCCGACGCGCGATAAACCACCCGGCAAACGGCAGAACAAACTTCTCGCCACGCTGCACGATAAGAATCGTTATGTCATACACTACGGCAACCTACAGCAATGCACGCGCCACGGTCTTCGCATCACAAAAATTCATCGCGTATTACAATTCGCTCAATCTCCATGGCTCCGCAATTACATCGAACTTAATACAAAATTTAGAACACTGGCCAAAAACAATTTTGAGAAAAATCTGTATAAATTGATGAACAACGCGGTTTTCGGGAAAACGATGGAGAACGTTCGAAATCACGTTAATGTAAAATTATTATCAAAGTGGAAAGGTAGATACGGCGCGGAGGCACCGATCTCGAAACCAAATTTTCACAGCAGGAGCGTTTTTTTGGAAAATCTGATAGCCGTTGAACTGCGAAAATTCGAGGTTAAATTTGACAAACCTATTTACGTCGGCATGTGCATTCTCGACATATCGAAAGTCTGTTTGTACGAATTTCATCACGAGTACATGTCTCCCCTGTATCGCGACAAGTGTAGAATTATGTACACCAATACGGACAGTCTGATATATCACGTAGAGTGCGAGGATGTGTACAGGAACATGAAACGCGATATTACTAAATTCGACACGAGCGATTACGCGATCAATAACGCGTACGGTATCCCACTCGCCAATAAAAAAATTCCGGGCTTGATGAAAGATGAAAACAACGGTGCGATCATGACCGAATTTGTCGGACTCAGGGCGAAGATGTATCCCTTGCGAGTGGACGGTAAGAAAGACTGTAAAAAAGCGAAAGGTGTTAAGAGCAACGTCGTAGCCAGGTCGATAACGTTCGACGATTACATGAGGTGTCTGCGAGACGAAATTGAAATGAAACGACAGCAGGCTTGCATAAAGTCCGAAAAACACGAGGTGTACACCGTGTCCGAAACAAAAATCGCTCTGAGTCCGTACGACGACAAGCGATACATTATACCTAATTCGACCGATACGTTACCGTGGGGACATTATCAAATACCTTTGTAACGTGTGTATAAAATGTATAACGTATGTACAGTGTAACGTATGTATAGCATAATGTATGTACAGTATAACGTATATATGTATAGTATAGTATAACGTAAGAATGTATGTAGTAACGTATTGTGATTGTGAGTATTATATTATAGTATTGGAAAGAATATTAATAAATAAATATATTGCACACATATGTGTATTTCAAACATTTACATGTATTACATATTGCATATTTTTATGTTATGAATAAAAAAGTTTGCACAAAATTAAATAACATTATCCTTGGATATCCATGAGTTGTGCGATCCATCGAATCCCAGCCATTTAACGTAAACCTCGTCACCCCTCCTGCGCAGTACTTTTCTCCACGAAATACACGTCCGGATAAGTCGCGCGATGCAACTCGTGTTCGTAGAACCCTCCAGAGACGGATTTTCCACGATAGTCCTCGAGTAGATAGGTTACGGGATTGGTACGCTGCACTTTAACAATCTTAAACACCTCGGTGGTCCAATTCGGCGTGTAACCCTTCTCGAAAATCGTCTTGTATTTGCTGACGCGTACCGAGTCGCCCGCTTTGAATTTTGCCGGACCCGCGATTTTTATCGCGTTGTATACGGTAGCCAAGAGTTTTTTGGCAATCGCGGGGGTAACGTCGACGGGTCGCATGCCGATGGTTCGATGCTTGCGCGCGTTGTAATCCGATACGAGTCGCGGCAAGGCGTCGACCTACTTATAATTTCCATTGAACGTAAACATCTTCCACATGTCGTTTTTGAGCGTGCGATTGAATCGTTCGACGACCGATGCCTTCAATACCAAATATGTGGAATAATGATTGATGCCATGTTTCTTCACGAGACGTTGCACGTCGGCGTTGTAAAATTCCTTCCCCATATCGGTTTGTAGGTTACTAGGGCACCTCCCGCTGTGTCGAATGATCTCTGCGACAGCATTATCTGTTTCGCTTTCGCCTTTACCCTTGAGTGGCGCGGCCCACGCGTGCTTGCTCAATACATCGATGACGGTAAGTATGTAGTGGTAGCCTCCGTTGAAACGTGAGTACGGACGCATCTCGACGATGTCAGCCTGCCACAGGTCATCGTACCCTCGCACTATAACGTGTCTTCGGGGAAAATTTCTTCTCGCCGGAGCGTGCAGTTCCTCGACGAGTCGTTGCTTCTTGATATTTTTACGTCCGTCGGATTTTAGCGATGTCATGTTTTTTTTGTTGTCGTTTATAACTGCTCGTTAGCCGTTTGTTATTTCCATTCGTCATCGTCGTCGTCGACGTTCTCTAGTCGTTTGTAAGCCTTTCCTGTCTCCGCGTAGTTCGCAGTTGTTTCTAAACCGCTCGTAATCGTTTTTAAGCTGTTTTTGAACCGTTCGACAACCGTCTGACGACCGTTCTCGAACCGTTTGGCAGCCGTCCGACAACCGTTCTCGAATCGTTCGTTGCTGTTCCTCGCCGTCGTTAATCAACCGTTGCTTCTCTTCACTCGTCGCCTTTTGATAATCGTTTCTGCTGTACCGTTTGTCCATTGTTATTGTTGTTGGTTGTCGCGTCTGATTCAACGATATTCGCACGTCAAAGCTTGTTTATCGCAGTCCGTAACGCTTGCAGATCCTTCTCGAACGCAGTCAGCTTCTCGTCTGATTCTTTTCGTTGATTGCTCAACATTTTAAAGAATTGATCAACGTACAGTTTGTTAACCGCGTCACCGTCAGTCTCAGGTTGCGCTACGCGACGAATCTTGCGCGACTTTGCGTCAAAGTCCGTGGCGGCGCGGCACAGAGCGTTATTGCGCACGAAATTTCTGATTAATCCGCTCCACCGATGGTACGAAATGGCATTCGTTGCGTCTCCGCTGTGCTCGAACAATCCAAATTTGTTGATCGGCATTTCGACGCTGATTGAACGGATCGCCGTCGCATGGTTTAATTTATAATAAGCCCGGCTTCGCGAAGTTCCTCGATAATCGACATGATCTCGTTGTCGTGGGCATTGTTGCCGGCGCGGCGTGGCGCGAAGCGTCGAGCAATCGCAGACGATCCACCAGCTCGTTGGGGTCGTCCCAATGCACGTAGTCAATCTTATTGTCGGTTAGCGTCATCGCGCGAGGCATGGATAATCCCTTTCCGGATTTTTTCTTCTTGGATCCGGTCGACATCAACGGTGCGATTACCTGTGTATACTTGTATCCCACGTTGCCCTTTAGTCGCTTGTTAGGATTGTGTTTGAATTTATGAGCACTCGTTGCCAACAGTATGCTCCTGTACTTTTGCATATCGTCCTCCGTGTAGATATCGTAATCGGGTATTTTCTTGAAGATTAATTCGTAAATACCGGGTGTGCCGGCGTATCGTACGCCGTCGATATAAATGTTATCCGCTTTGTCCACGTCAAAACGTTTATTA